CGGGTAGTCTACCGCCCCGCAGATCAGCATGAGCTCGGACGACATGCTACTAGGGTTGGGATAATGGAGAACCGATCGTGAGTCTTGCCGTAAATTGGGACAAGAACTTGCGTGATTTTCAAGCGACAAAGGTTCGACGGACTATTTTATTCGCGATACTCAACTTCGCATCATCAGATCCCGGAGCGAGAGTTGCTTGGGGATTTTGGTGCCACCAGCTGATGACACCTATCGAAAACTTCTTCGAAGTGCTCTCTGAAGGTCATCCTCACGAAGTATTGTACGTACGAATGGGCAAGCCCCTGCAGAGCTTGAATCGTTTTGCCTTGGCTTGGTAGCCACGGTTCCCATAAGCCTGGCACACGTTCGCAGAATACTTGGGGCTTGTTCACGACCTACGTAAGGAATGAGTTGCAGTTCCTCGACACTCGTGTAATGTCGGACCCGTGAAGCAAATCCTAAAACCATGTAATGGGAGGATGAAATTTTACCTGGATGCTGATGAGTGGGATGCCTTCATTGAGGGTTTGTGGGATGGCGAGATGGACCTTGATTGTCTGTTGCGGCACCTGGCACGCAGTTGGCTGTAATCGGCGGAATTTCCAATGCCACGCAACCATCCAGAAGACTTTCGCTATCAAAAAGCAACGGACGTTTGGGACGAAATCTGTGAGGTGACAAGTCGGGTAAGTTGATGCGTCATCCTAGAAGCGATCCTCTCACTACACCCGCAAATTTACCGTAGCGACGATACGTAATGTTATGGAGATTGAATGCCTTGAGCTTCACCAGCTGAGCGCTGTGGTAATAAAACTTCGCTCTCAGCCGATCTTTGAGCTCGTTGATCGTGTATGATTTCCCGACTTTCTCGAGCAGCCTCGCATTCGTTATGTCAAGGCATGTTTTTATCATATGGTTCATGCTTTTCGTGGGAATTCCTGAAATGCCAGCGAAATATTGGGGAATCAGAGGCGCACTAGTGCCTGGACCGAGTTCGTTCCGGAGACGGACACGGTTCGCTTGAACTTACTGAAGTATGTACATTGGGGCATCGGCACGCACCTGGTTTGCTCGTTTTTGCTCCCAGATCTGAAATCACGGGTCTCATCAATGAGAATTCTTCCTGCGGTACACCTCATAGGTGGAACCGAAGCAGTGGACGCATCGATGTTTCGGAAAGACCTCCGCTCAAAGCAACGATAGTGTCTTGAGAAATATCGTATCAACGAGACGAAGGGCTTACCTATCAAGAGATCCTCTGTTACGGTGGTATTCTCTTCTAGTTGAGCTTCCCTCATGTAGATTGCAAAAACAATGAGGTACAGAAGAGATACGAAGATGTACACACTTATCCTGGATGTCGTTCGGGCTGCAGGGAAGAGTTTCCTCTGTTGCATTTGTGTACCGAATTCCTCAAGTCATTCCGAATCTACGAACGTTACTTTTCAGATATGTGGAGTCCTTCCGACTTCTGTCAATGCTTTCGCTCTCGTTGAATTCATCCCACACGCTCTCCTGGAAATCCTCGATCTGCCCCCTCTCTTGTAATTCGCATTCCGACCAACCACCGACTCTTTCTAGTATCGCGACCTGGTTGCGAAGAACACTCCCGTGTTCAGAAGCCGGTGACGCCACGGGTACATCGCAGAGGGCTCCGGTATCTCCGAATTCGGAGGGGGCTCCGTCGTGTTGGAAGACGGGAAGCGAAGGTTCTGCGAAAGGTGCGCTCAAATCAATGGCGAGTTGCTGTGCTACGCCATCCGAGTTCCTCTGCGCCTTGGCAGGGGCGGACGCCATTATCTAGCGTTGGTTTCCGATCATTCTTAGAGTTTCGTTGTTTGATCTGAGGAAATGTCTGGCACATGGGGTTAATCGAGTACGCAATACATGTGTATCCTGTACTGCGTCTCTGCCAAGCATGAGTATCGAGACACAGTGCACAGAACTATACACTTTCAATGGTTTCCGGGGTTCGGTCCGTTGTAGGGAGGCTAGCCCAAAACCACATTCGCCGCTCATGTGCGGGAAATTGTCGACAGCGCTTCCCCGATCGCAACTGATCTCGCTAGCATAAGGGACGACTTCATCTCCCTCCGACTGGTCATGAGTGTTCGGAAACTCTGTATGTAGGCTCTGCGGAAATCTATACTCTCTCCTCCACAAACTCACAATTCGATGTCCGTGTTCTAACTTGTAGACGAGTTAGTTTGAATGACCACACCAATTCAATGAACCGACCCCCCCCTTCAGCAGCCCCCTCCTTGCAGGCGAATCGTTGCGAGCTGTTTCACCGTAGGGTAGTGTCAGCTCCGTAGCTAACTTTCTCATCGATCGATCGGCGGGAAGACCTCATTCCGCCCACACTACCATGTGCCCGTGACTGCATCAAGATTTGTTCTTGCCGTTCTTTGTTGTAGGAGGAAGCTCCCGACGTCAGCTTTCTCAATGATTACGAGAACGGATCTTAACGCGACATCGAGACTCGATCATCTCAAGCCTATGGCACCCTGACTCGAATACTTCTCCGAGCTTCTCCTCCACATATATTCGGGCGAAATCATGGGAGGTACTAGGTACCCAGCGACCAACATGAGCGGGAACTTCCGCTGCCACGCTGACCAGTCCAATACCATTCAAGCTGAAGCTGAACGCGTGGGTCATCTAATAGAGGTGTTTTTTCAACAGATTCCATGGGATCCCTCCCTTACCGCCTCCCCCTATCGTGTAGGCCTTGAATCTTTCCGAACGAATCCACTATCAGACGCGATGCGCGGGAGAAATCACTCAAAGAGCCCCTGTCCTCAGGGGCAGTATAGAAAATGAATGCGAGCGCTGCGGAGCGATACCGATCCCTCCGGGGCGTCGGCGTCGACATGACGGGAATCGCCAAGCGCTCTTCGTGCTGATTCTGGCCGAATTTTAGGCGAATCAACGGATTTCTGACGGATTTTCACACTTCGAGATTTGTGATATTGCGGCACGTTGACACCCTCCTTCGCCGAAGGCGTGATGATGATAAGAATAAGTAAATGCGAAAAATCTACTCTGCCACTTCTTGTTTAGATCCCATTTTCTTAGGAAATCATTTCGTCGACTCGCTCTTCACTGACGGAGGCCTCGATCTGATGTTCCGTTGGGCCATCGCTCAAGGTTCCCGACGGAAGTCATGCCGGGATACAAGTGCCTGAATGAAAGGATTCCGGATAGCGATTTCGCGGGGTAGGTACATGACGGATTTGCGACTTGGCGCCGCTGAAAGAAGGGAACATGCGGTTGGATTCTCCGAGATTCCGCGGAGAAGCAGAGAAGTCAGTAGTTGCGACATGCCATGCATGATTAGCATAATTGAAGAGCTGTGATCGCTTTGCACCTCGGAATTACGATGAATGCTCACTCAGGAGGACAGCTCGGTAACTGAAATTCGACTCCGGACCTATGAAGGCAGAAAATGCACACGGCGATCTCGGCGCTGACTGAGTGGGTCGTGGTCGAGATACAGGAGAGACGGGACGGAGCGTGTAGGTGGTATGATAGCAGACAACATTTCATTCTCGCGAAACCACAGAAAAGAGCTTTCCCTCCTGTTTGATTCGGACAGTGTACTGGTCAGCCCCGGGGGCCCAGATGGTTCGGCGATCGGACTGACAGAAAACGAATAGGTCTGACTCAGGCCACCCATGTCCCTTGAATAATTGATTCTAGTTACCGGTCTGAGGATCTATCCGCGCGTAACCACTTTTGAGCGGAGACGCCGATCCATAACGAGACTTCGCAGTGAAAGATGACCCAGTACCGTCGCTCGAATTAGAAAACTTTCTGACTCTTTTATGCGAGAGTTGCTCCAGGAATCGATAAATCTAATCCGTGGGTTGCATCACTGTCCTGGGCTTACTCGTGGATGTCTGACGAACAGTGGATTCGGGAGAGCCCTCGAAACAGGAATGATCCCTTGGACGGACCGACGTCCCGTGTTGGCCATGCCGCTCACTGAAGCAGCTGCCATTCTCGGACCGATTCTGCGCTCGAACGACTTTTTCGGACTTGGACCCTTCAGGAGGCCGCTGGATGACCCTGTGTAAGGACCCGTGCGGGAGATCCACTTCCGTTCTAACTGCATTTTTGATTGACTCCAGACCCATCCCAGGAACGAGAAACGGCTGCGCGCTCGTCTTCGATACAATGGAGTCGCGAAATCTATCATTCGTCTTTGGTGGTTGCGTAGTTTCTGTCTGCTCGGTGTCAAATATTTCTTCGCGGAGAAGAGTTTTGGAGCCGCCATCGGCGACTTCATCAGGACCACGGTGGGGACCTTGGGCTTGATGCACGTATCGAGAAATAGAGAGAGACTGAACGAGGCTATCGAATTTCTCGATAGGCATTCGCATCGGGGTGAGCGCGACGACCTTAGGTGACCCGAGATCGGATTTTTACTTTTCTTTTCTGCATAATCTTATCAGATCTCATATTCGATACTCGACTCCGAGAAGAAGGCTACGATCTTCCGTTTTCCTTTCAGAAAGCTCGGGCCTTTGGTTGCATGGCTTAGCTTATCGAATGAATTTCTGCATCTGGGTGTACGTCTGCTTGAGACTCCTGGTCGACCTTGTCGCGTTCCACAGGGAGAATCTCTTGATTCTGTTCATACGCTCAGAGCTGTTCGTGGAGCCTTCTCAAGTTCCAGCGAGTCTGTACCCCGTAGTGTTTTTTTACGCTTTGGTGGATCTGATGCTCAATCGGCTAATAACTTCGGCCGGCCTGTGCCTTAGTCCGTGCACATACATATCGCTGAACTTTGTGCGTATTTCTGGATAATTCGTGACCTGTAACCACATCGACCCCGGATCCGAAATTCATGAAGTCTGGCGGGGAAAGTATCGATGAGCTAAGTTCAAAGAGCTTGAACTCTCGTTTTTTTACGGGAAGATCTCTCTCCACAGTTAGTCCTCATAAAATTTTTGAAGCTCGACGACGAGATTCGGCGGCTTGCGGAGGGGGCCGCGATGCCTCACAAAATCAGAGACTTGCGTCTTCTTCATGCCGATTTGTGTCAGATCATCATGTACGTGGACAGTATTTTCGCACCGCTGGCGATATTCTTCCACGGTGGAACTGTGGCAGGCTTCTGTGGCGAAACCATCAGATTGATAGAGGTGAGAGGAGAACCATGGCGGCAATTTCTTCGAATCAACATTATCGGGAAACATCCCGTGGTACCGAGAGGTACGAGAGAATAAGACTCTGGTGGCTTCTCTTGCCTTGAGCGTGACACGGACGCCCCTTCCCCCTCCCAGAAGAACCGTAAAGAGGGCAATCCCCTGTCGAAGATATGCATCTCTTTCAGGGCGAAAATGCCTCAAGAGGGAGAAGACATGCGATGGGGGGCAACATAACATAAATGGCGGAAAATCATCTCCCTCGTCACTGTTGTTCGCGCAGAAGCGAAATCTCTCAATTCCTCTCAAAGACGCATTTCGCCTCGGGATCGCCCTATCGTCTTCACAATCACATATTGCATACGGTGCCGGCAGTGTCACGGTGGTTTCGTGAGACGATCTGCGAGCTCCGATACCGTCAGACTTCCCACCACGGACGGAGGCGTTCATTCTGCCGAAATCGATCATTTGATTTCGTGGGAATCGCGGACTCAGCTTATTGAATATTGAAGCATGCTCCGAGGATGGCACGGTCGATAAGTCTGTGTCTTGAGCATTGAAGTGGCTCTGCGCTCGTCCGTCCTCAATGGGGGAAAATCGACGATATCTGCTCCAGGAGTGGACCATAGATCTGTCATTTCGCTCGCGTCTCAGAATGACCCCGTTAGATTAGTGTTCGGGCATGGTCAGCCTCCCTATAGAGGGCTTTCTACCTCCACGCGATCAATGTCCACGATCCCTATCTTTTCGGAATTTATTCTGACTTTATCGGGGAAAATCGTCTCCTTCACCCCGACTAGTGGAAGCGAGAGATTCCATTCACCGTGCTCCAACCCACCAGGTTCAACCAACTCGAGCCACAATAATTCTTATCTTTCAGCGATATTCCAAAGGAGTGGATTCCTCCGAGTCGTTGTCGTTAACGAGTGTGGTGCTCAGCTTGGCGTTCTTGGTGATTGTTATCCCTCTCGTGACCATATCAACAGCGGAGATTTGTGATTGCCCGAGGAAATCGATCCAAGCTGTCAATAAACTTCTCCAGGAACAAGGAACACTCGACGTGGCGGCTGGCACCCACCAGGTCATGGAATTTCGTTTGTCGTTTTCGTTGGTCTATCGAGAAGTATAATGAGCTCCGCGTGATGTTCCGTAACTTGAGATTTCGGCCAGTCAGTGAAGGCTACGAGGGGCTGCGTTCCCTGAAGCCTTGCGGAAGATACCCGGGAGCCAGACCCTAGAGAATTCGGTTTTCCCTTGCGGGATCAATTTAGTCCCGTGGGGAGCTCACCGAGCTCAAATAACCACCTTCGGTAATGAGGAACATCTCCTCTGCCGTTCACAGATCCGCCTCTTCCTGTCTCAAATGTACGTGAAGGATGTCCAAATGACAGCTTGGCGTTTCTACAAATTGGACCGAGCCGCCCTCATGACGACCTACGGCGCTTCGGTCAGCTACGTGAGTCTGGTTCTTCAATCGACCGGAAAAGTTTGAATTCCCCGCCGCGGTCATCAGTGGAGTGCCTATCTCCTCTGAAGATTAGATCATCCCTATTGAGGCTTCGGTGTCGGGGCGTCTTCGCTGTGGGACCAAACCTTCGAGGATGACCTAACAGATCAGTAGAAGGTCGATTCCGAAAATAAACAAATAATTAATGTTCGATAGGCACAACGAGACGTTTCCTTGAAATCTGGCAGGATCATAATGATCGCTTGAAGAAGTTCTTTTCCCATCCTGCGAATCATGAGCCGTCGATATCGTCTCTGCGCTCTGTGTGGAGCTCACCGTACGAAAGGGACCTAGTCCATTTAACACCGAGAGAGCTCGCACTCGATTCCCCCCTGCGTGAGACTGAATCTTTCCCAGAGGAATCGGATCCGATCGTCAAGTACCTCTTCATTACGAGTCGCTCTTCGCCGATCCGCGAAAGAGCCAAGCTCCAGAGATTCTAGAAATCTGATTTCGCCGTTCGCTACTTCCATCCCTGCGTTCACTAGATCTCGAAGCAGATTTTTTCTGCCGGGAAACTCGTCGATTAGGAAGTTTTTGGATACGTCGACTGGATTTCTCGTGTAGTCGCTCACTGATTTGCTCAAATCTCAGTAAAACTAAGCACGGGATTTCTCGCGTCCATCCATTTCGGAAAAGTAGTGGAGGAGCTCCACACAGTTATTTCTGTGTCGGGAGGGAATGGCTGAGCGGAGTTTTCGAGAAACTAATTCCCGGAACGCGTGCTACGACACGTCAGCTACTCGAGAAATGAAGATGGAAATTATGTCGTGGTTCGGATTTTGCTTTATATCCACCCAATTACCGAGGTCGGAAGATATTCACCCGAATCTCTGATTGCTGTGGATCGTTCCGGCTGATCGGAGACGTTCTGAGAATCGGATTGAATAGGTGCCGCGGAACCGTGGGAGGAAATTCGTTTCACGAGATCTCCGTAAGAAAGAAGTCAAGCAGAACAAATGCAGTTTCCATCCCAACCGATATCAGGACCGAGCCTGGTCAACGACCGGGCGACGAGAAGCAGACATCCCTATGAGTCATCTGCAGTAGCGTAGGTAAGGGGGGGGCGGGGGGC